GGAAAAAATAATGTCCATCTATTATTTCTACCATGGTTGTGTTGCTCTAACAATGGAAAACTAACGTCCATCCATTATTTCTACCACGGTTGTGTTGCTCCAACAATGGAAAAATAATGTCCATCCATTATTTGTACCATGGTTGTGTTGCTCTAACAATGGTAAAATAACGTCCATCCATTATTTCTACCACGGTTGTGTTGGTCTAAGAATGGAAAATAACGTCCATCCAATATTTCTGCCATGGTTGTGTTGGTCTAACAATGGTAAAATAATGTCCATCCAATATTTCTACCATCTGAATGACTTCCAAGGAGTAAGTTGGAACTATACCTTTTTTTTTATTCACTATCATTATTACAAGAATTCACAGATAAGTTTCATTATAAGTTTTTTTTTACAAGGACTTGTTTTGCCTCTCTCTTTCCTTTTTTTTTTGTTTACTTGTATACTTTTCTTTCTAAATATCTAGATTCAAAGAAAGATCGAAACATTATTTTTATTTTCGCATGAACTACGAATAACTTTTAGGGAGAATACACCACGTCATTAGCACTATCTTTAGAGCAGAATCATCTTCAAGACTGGCGCACTCGCTTCAAAAGACTGCGAGAAAGAAACCGCTATTAATAAAGCTACTTGATATCTCGAGTTTGTTTAACCTACCCAAAGCCTAGCTTCAATAATGAACATGCATTACAGCTCAGCTGAACAAAATTTCTAATTCCACCAGTTCAGTTTAAAAAAAAAAAAGAGTACTTAAGCTAAGAAATTAAAAGAGTCAGTAATGAACCGTACTTTCAAAGTATTTTAAACCCCCCGAGACACATTTGAGGGACCGTTCGTGTATGTTGATACATTATATTCTTCACATTTTGTTTTCCCTCCCTCCATTCATTTCATGATCACTAGAACTTCCATCCCTAAAATTTCATCATGCATCTCCTTTATTATCATATTCACATCCAAGAAATGGGTCCTCATTATAGGCTATGTGTGTTGTTTTTGCATAAGATGTGTGTATGTTTGCTTAATCATCAAATCGGTGCGGAGAAGGTCAAATATTAACAACACTGTACGTCTTCAAACGATGAGATTTTTTCACACCAAATCATTTCACTGTATAATTGAAAAAGTGTGAGTGAATTTCAGTTTAATCTATATGGCCTAATCATGAATTCAAAACACTTCGATAGTTTTCAAAACTAGTACGTTCTTGAGCTTATATTTCATTATTTTGTAACAACATCATTTTAATCCCTTCTCTTCAAGTTACGCAGGTTAGAGGAAATTGATATCCACGCTAACGAGACGTCATTTATAAACGGATCCTGACGACACATATAAACCACACTTGAACATCATGCTGGCTACAGAAACTGTATGCTAAAGAAAACCTGATACAGGACGTGAATTATGGTAATTTTCTACTCACAGGATAAGTATAATTTCCGGCGTCGTGTACATTTATTATAGTATTGAATAATAGCAATATATATATATATTAAATTATAATAAACAATTAAAAACAACGTTTTATATTTACACACAATAAAAACTTTATTGAAGCTGTACGGCTTCCACTTTAAAATATCGCTCTGACAAGTACATGTTTCGACGTGATCTACGTGATCCTCAGGAGTAACTTACAAGACTATTTTATACTTTCTCGCTTGTC